GAATCCCTTTAAACCAGGCAGAATCCGGTGACTCCTTTAAAACTTTGCTGAACAAAAAGGCCTCTTGGCATCTTGGCCGAACCACCTCACCGGACCGTACGATCTCTTGACGATCTCTGCGCTTCCATCATCGGTGACTCGTGCGTCATCGGTGACTCGCCGTCCTTCGCGTTGGGACGAGTCCTTGGCGTCGGTCCGGTGGGTTGTTTTCAGGACTACAACGGTGGACGTTCCTTGGCAGATCTCCAGAAGTTCGCCAAGGGCTTGGGACCCATGTGCGGCCCGGCAACTCGGCGTCAGCAGATGATCGACGGCTGTTGCTTTCTTAATTAAGGCGCAAGGGAACTTGGATCAGATTGCATGAGAGCATTGGATCATTAGTGAGTTGCTTGTCAAATTGTTCTTTGGTCCTTCTCCCTTCTCTCACGTGGTCTGGTTTCAAAGATTTTTTCGAGGCGGGCGGGAGAGACGCCGTGCAGTTCAACTCCTTTCGCCGGCCCGGAACCCGGTCGGCGACCGTCGACCGACCGAGGCCAACATGGATTTGTGCGACGACGCCAAGAAGACGCAGATCACCGAGTCTCCGGGCGAGACGAATTGGATGCCGGAGACCGGACCGAATTCGGATGAAGGCACAGAAAGACCCCGGAGTTCTCCACCATCCCTGGGCTAGATGGGTAAATAGGTCAGTCCGATGGCGGGGTTCAGAAGAGTAAAGCAGCAAAGGCCCCAACTCAGCGAAGTCCCCAAGGCAACGCATGAGAAGTTCCCCAGCCTCCACCCCTCTCTTCGCCCCTGCCTGCCTGAAGTCTGGGAGAGAAGTCTCTCCATCCCGGGCTACCGGGCGGCCCTAAGATCCATTCGTAGAGTCCAGGTATAGGTTTGTTCAAACCAAGCAGTTAAAGTACTGTAAACAGTTAAACATGTATCAGCTGGCTCGGTTTGTGGAATGATTTGTGGAATGGTTTGATGGTCCAGAGATCTGGACTTGAGGTTTGGAGGCCTTTTGGAGGCCTCAGTCCAAATGGGATGTTGAAGGCTGTCAGCTGATGGAGACCATGCTAGATGAGAACGCACTCCGTAGATTTATATATACATATTATATATTTATAGGTATGTGTTGATCTAAAGAACTAGGAGAGATCTGATGAGGATCTTCCAGGGATTCTTCCAGGACTACGTGGGTGGGCGGATCCTTAACATCCTAAAGCCTACCTTTCTTCGTCCGCCTTGAGACCTGATGTGACTGCCGGCCTCGTGTTGGTTTGTTTGATGTTGTTTGAGGTTTTTGGCTATGGATGCCAAGATCCTGGGCTGCAGAGTCAGCAGAGTGAGCAGACCTCACTCACTTAGTGGGCAGATAACCCGTACTTTTGTAACAGCTTCGCTGCAGAGGGTGGCTGTTCTGAGGTGTTGTTGGACATCAAACTGCAGAGAATGCAGTACTTGAATGCGAATCCAGTCCAGCCAGGTTGATTTCCAGCCGAACAGTAGAGCATGACTCCATTTCAGCTGTAGGACATGTATAAGTTGGTGTCAGAAAATTATGGGAGACGGCATTGCAGCTATATGTAACCTGCATATGCAACCATGGTTATTTGATTAGCTGAGCCCAGGTCCGAAGCTTGGTTTTCGGGTATCCGACTTGGTCCATGGAGCTGTTGACTTGTGATTTGTGTTCCACATGGTTCATGACCACTTTCTGACTTACTAGTTCATAGATCCTTCCTTCATGGTTTCCATGGGTGGTCTTACTTCATAACCACTTCTGTTCCTCATTGGTTTGACTCACTTCCTCCCTTCTTAGATGAGGAAGCGTGAGAGCATGATCAAGGAGAAAGAAGCAGAGATCGAAAAGCTTCCCGGCCGCGCAAACCCGATGAGTTCCTGGGGCACCACTTTCCAAGGTCAAGTCCATACCCGGACCATCAATGTAGGACCTATTTAGCTACATTGGGGTAGTGTCAGGGGTCAATGTAGGCATGTATACAACCCCGAAAGTCTTTGCATAACGTCCAGCTTGTGAAGTGTTACGTGGGAGTTTGGCAAACTGTAGGGCTAGCTTACTTGAGAAGTGGACGCAAAAAAGGTGTTGACATCAGCTTTGAATTGAGAGGTTCTTCATTCTTCTACCAGCTGGGTTCCTGTTCGCGGAACCCTTGCAATTGAACTGCGAAACAAAGATGGCAAGTTTTTCCCCGTACAGGCCCCTTCCCTAGATGTTGGAATGGAAGGGGTTTACAGGTTTCATGCGATGTCTTGAAGTCGCCTTTTTTGAGGCTCGAATCCGACTTCAAGACGTTTGTGGAGGGTCTGCAAAAGCAGTACCAGGCGACGGGGTGTCGACTCTGGGCGACGCAGTGTCGACGCCACTGACACCGGGAGCCATGAGTTTTGCAGCGAGGGGCCTGGTTTGCTTTGGCCAAGTGAAGCCTTAAGGCTTGAGGTCGAAAGAAACGACAGCATGCCTCAAAGTGGCTAAAATTTGGCTTAAAACATCACGAAACCTTCTGAGTATCAAGTGTTAAGCATTCACACGAGGGCTTGTATGGTTATAAGTATCTCCACATATGGGTGTTCGAAAGGGCTGTATGGTTCCTGCATGATCTTCCCCTTTGAGTTGCTTTCGGTTGCAGATGGTGATTGCGGGGATTGAAAACCCCGTGATAGACCTCGAGCAATGAGTGAATTCGTCCCTCAAGGACTTCCGCGGCGAGGCCTTGAAAGACAGGCTGTTGGGGTTGATACCCACTGATCGATTTATGCTGACATTTTTTCCATGTTTTTCCCCACTGGCTGGCCAGCAGAACATCTACAAGCCTTTGGCCTTTGCAGATTCTTCTTTCACCCAGTATCCAGTATACAACATTGATGTTGGTTTTGAGATGTTGATAGATGTTTCACAGAACCCCCCCCACACTGCAAGGTCCAATGATCCACCCGAACTTGGGACCAATGGCGCTCCTTCTCTACACCTTGCCACCGGACGCACGGAGAGCGAGCCGCCCTTTGTTTGCGGATGCGCTTCGAGGAGAGCAGTGACAAGAAGGACAAGGACGTGGAGGAGATCAAGAGCTCCGGTCTGGGACTGCTCAAGGCACCCGACGAGAAGCGAAGCGACGCGAACGACGCGTGTCGAACGACACGTCGACGTGGACTGGGAGGACACGCCGAAACGGCGCGTCGATCGGGTGGATGGGGAGGTGGTGTGATTTTTGTGGATGTTTTCGGTGAGATGGAAGGGATGACGGGGAGAGGTGTTTGGTTTGGAGCAAGGATTGTGGTGTTTGATTCGGTACTTCGGTGGGTGACAAGCCCGTTGATGAGTCAGTTGTGAGGACGTTCTGGCATTGTTGAGCCATCAATTGATCGATGTTGGAAAAGGCCGCCAAGCGATGGAACTGCCTTGGAAGACGTTCCTCTAACAGAATAGACGTTCTGCATGTTGCAGTACCTGGAAAGCATCCCAGTGGTCTTATCCATCCTGTAAACGAAAGGATGGCCGTTGGACATGGTGGTGTCAACGGATCACTAATCAACCTACCTGGGTCTCTCGGAGCTGATCTCGCTCCTCTCATCGATACTGGATTCAGGGCGTCCTTGACTTGGAGACAGAAGTACACTGGAAATCAGGAGAGCCCTTTATGATTCAAACATTTGTGGAACATCCTTGAAGAGTCTGGGGCGGGGCAGTTGTTGGCTTCCGCCGAGCTGGCAGAGTTGATGATGGTCCAAATGGCGGTCTCCAGTTGGGTCCCCACTATAACTATATACCAGCTGCGAGCAGACAGGGGGGCACATGAAGGATTTTCTTGCGCAAGTCGGTGGGGCGATGCATTGGGTGATATTGGGTGTCAACTTAATTACTAAAAATATATGGACAGTTCCTCATGAAGTCTATCTCATGTTTGAACTGGTGGAACCCTTTCAGTTTGACAGTGGCCAAATTGTTTGTGCAAGAACCTTGCCCATTGCAGGTCCTTTTGTATGTGTTTTTTGCTTCCGACATGTGATATCAATGTCTGTGATATCCCAAGACAAGGGCAATCCAAGTCACAGAGAACACATTCAGTGCAAGAATGACTAGATGAACATCGCTGGTCCTTCTTGTCGCCCTCAGGCCGTGAGTGCCTATCAAAAGAAGGCCAAGAGCGAGCTTTAGAGAAGTTGGACCCTTGGTGCAGCTTGGTGTGGAACGATCTCGGACTTCGTTCCCGGTGAAAGCAGTGAACGCTGGGCCCCGGTGTTTTTGGGCCTTGATTCAGGAATCATGCGCAGTGCATGCGGAACAAATGCGTAATTACGTAATGATTTGTGGATGGCTCTTGAGGGATCGAATCTTTTGTGAGGGTCCACGTGTTTTGTGTGTTTGGTGTTTTCGCCAGAACGGCATACCAGTTTTAAAGGACTGCAGGAATCAACACTTGTCCTACAGCGATCGCAGAACGATTCTTTTCCAGCAGACGTTTTAGACAAGAAACAAAGATGAAGATGAAGCTCATGAAGCGAAGATGAAGATGCTCATGAAACGCGGGTGAAGATGCAGTGCAAAAACAACGAAGAAGAAGGTCATGAAACGAAATAGAATCAAGAGCGAGATGCATTTTTTCGCAAACGATGAAGATGAAATGCACTAAACGAAAATGACGATGCAGTACATCAAACGGCCATGAAACGAAATTGAAGATGATCAAACATGTTGATGCTGATGATCCAACTGAACGTTCTTACCCCCCACCCAACCTAAAACAACGTTGCATATAACAGGTCCAAACACGCAACACTCCCAATCATCAACAGAAATTCAGTGGACCACAAAACCCTCCCTTTTGAACCACAGTTATGTCAAAGAGTCTCCCAAGCCGGATGTTGAGGCAGGTACCGAATGCCAAAGTTATACTCTAGATAATCCTCACAGATCACTACCTGACATGACTCCACATTAGCAACCTGACGAGACAAGCAATTGAGCCCTGAAGATGGGGAGGTGTATGGAAGTTGTGGCCCTTTGAGCTAGCTGTTTGTTGCACATCATCCTCTCAGGCGGACCCTTCGTGCGGGTTTAGTTTCGACCTCTGTGTGACTGTGTGTGTGTGTTCGAATGACATGGCGATACTGGTCAATTGGGATTGCTGGAATGGTGATACTTTGTTTCAATGGACTTGTGCTCTTTCAATGACATCTGGTGAAGATTCATGAAGCATGTTCCTATTGGTTCGGTGTTTCCGTGGTGTAAGATGTTGTCAATCGGTGCTATATACTTGTTGCAATTTGTGCTCATCAGTTGTTGATGTATTTGGTATTGTAATGTATTGTATCTAAGTTCCATGATCGCAAGATCCCCGATCCCAACCCTAAAAGTACCACAAATGATGGACATACTCCGTGCGCTTGGATTTGGGTCACTCAGCAGCAGAGTTTGAGGCTCTGTTGTTGCGTCAAGGGTTTGGAGTGTTCATAGATTGAGTGAGGTGTTGGGGTCCTGGAGATCAATAATCAGATCAAAAGACAATCAACTATGGTATAACTATGGCGGTATATTATTTATTTTTGAATTGTGGTAGCTGTTGAACTACAGTAAAAGCAAGAGCCTTCAGCTCGAGCTTGGCAGGTTCATGTTGATCAGCCCATCCTTCCGAAGAATCCGCTGATCCAAGGCATGGTGGACCGCCATGTACCACGCCCTTCCACGAAGGTTCCAACAAGCATAGATGGAAGCCTTCACCGATGAGTGGAGGAGTTGTAAATAGCGTGTGCTTACACATGGTGTTGTTCTAAGCCTCGTTGTAACAATATGTAGTGTAGGGAGCATAGGTGCAAGGGTAGCATACATGATCATGCAATAATACACTTGTGACAGCTGTATACATGCCAGCCAATTGAATAATGAATAGCTCGCCAAATGTCGGGTCGTCAGCGACAGTTTCACTTTTGCCAGTACAGAGCTGTTCCCAAAGGGCACTTTTGTTGCCTGGTTTTCACCCTGCTCAGCGGATGATCCTGCGTACCTGGGTATGAAATGTCCATGAATGCAGAGGAAAGCTGAGGAGAGGAATCCACACGAAATGCCTGAAACGGAGCTCCTCTCTGTCACGGGAGGAAGTTGATGTCGATGAGTTTTGACTGCTGCAATCAACAGGCAGCCCACGACAGGCGAAAACCACTGCGGCGTATGCGACCTGGGTGTGGCAGGTGGACGTCTTTCCCGAAAGAAGCGGCTGCTTTCCGGAGTCGGTGGGTTGCCAATACTGGACATCAGCCAACCAGCAGAGATGGACCAAACAGGCACACAAAAACGGGGGGTTCTCGCCAAAGTGTTGAAAGTTCCAGCCGCAAAAAGGAATATTAGTGAAGATCAGAGTTAGACTCAGACTCATGGGAGAACACGAAGACCTGGTGCCAAGTTTGATGGAGAGAATCTCACGGTGCCAAGAAAGCCTGCCTCAAAGCCAGGCACATTTGGTATCTTGGAGAAGTTGGTCAATCGATTTGTTATGCTTGCAGGACAGCAGTAATAGTATTTCCCCATTAAACGATCAATCGCAAAGCCATCCTCATTCGTTCGTGTTTGCGAAGGTCTTGGCAGCGGCCCTTTTTGGACCACACGAGTCGTCCCTCCCTTTGTTACACAGGGAGACCTAGACCTTGACTGGTTGCTGGTGACTGATCTCAACTTTTTGCATCTGGGACCTCTTCTTGCGTCCTTGGCATACCTTGGTATACCTTGGTATGCCAGGTTGCTGGTGTGGTGCCAGAAGAGGACGCTCCGACCAGCGCGCCGAAACCTGGGCACCGCGCTGAAACCGGTTTGGGTCCTAGTACTCAGAGAGGCTGGAAGAACTCGGAATCAGGGAATGATGGTTTTTGATGTTGGTCTGTGTGCCTTTCTTGTGTCTTTGGAAGAAACCCTTCCCTTTGAGCCTTATGTGGATGGAATGCCAAACTCCAAGTGGCTAAAGTTCTTTGCAGCAAGCTGCTAGTTTTCGTTATAACAATCCGTTCATCCCTACCCACCATACTTTCTTAGGCCCTGAGTAGGGAAGAGGTTCTGTACACTTGAATATCCAGATCCAATGATATGTTTTGGGGCCCATTTGGGGGGGCCCAAGGGCGGCGTTGGCTAGATCAGTCACCAAACCTTTTGCCTTCCTCCTTGCATCAGGCACAACCGCTTTCATTGCTCTTCGCCAGCTGACATCCTTTGTTGTCCGCAGAACTTGGGGAATGCCCTTCTGCCAGCCTCATGCGGGCAGATCGGCGGATGGGGAGTCCGAACACGGCCATTTCCGAACACCCCAAACGGTGGCCGTTGGCGCGGAATTGGCCGTTTTGCCTATAGCTACGTGGAGGGACCAAAGAGGAGTCAAACGAATGTTTCGACCTTTTGCACCAAGGGAGGTGGTACTTTTTGGGTCTATTTGGGGTCATTGCCTAAAGGTCGCCCTCCTGAAAAAACCCACAGTGTACACGTGTACAGGGCGGCGGAGAGCCCACTCGTTGGTCGAGCCCCTCTCTCAACATCGGACACCTTTGTATTTGGAACGGCTCGGTCGCTTCAGACCCCAGGAGGAAGGGAGGAAGGCCAGCGGATGCTTTCTGGCTGTCCGGTGCCAGTCTCACCTCACCCCCACCCTCCCAACAAATCAGGAAGGCCAGGAAGTCCGGATCGTCTCCCACGCGTGTCCTTCGGTTTTTTCTTTCCAAGCGCAGGAAGAAGTTCCTGAGTACAGTGTTCAGGCGAGCCGCGGATTGGGTCGAGTCCGATCGGTTGGAAGCCACCGAGTGATGGTGATGGTCATGATACATTCCTTATAAAGCATGAGTCCTTTTGTTTAGAAGAAGGGGGGTCGGTGGAAAAACACCTGTCCCAAATTCCAAAGTCCCAGACCCTTCTCAGACCCCTTCTCAGCAAATCAAAGCCTTTGTTACTTTGTTGGGTCCAGTTGATGAAGCCCCATACGAATACATTTGAAATCAGTTGAATGCTCCTGTTTTCGCAGGAACCTCAGGATTTTGCTGTCGACCAAACAGGCCGGTGGAACCTCGGGATTCGCTGTTTTTTTTGTTCCGTCAACAAGTTGAGACATACAGCTTGGTGGAACAAAAACTGCATTTACAGGTATTAATGCGGTATTCTCAACTGACTATTTAAGTGTATTTCAACAACAAACTGTATTCCAGGAGTCACGTTCGACGGGGTGCTGAAGGTCCCCATGATCCTGACTGGATGGGACGAACGAAACCACCCCTTTGGCCCGTCTGGTGACTTCTGGTGCGCGTTTTTGTTTGGCTTGGTGGCCACCACGTGAGTTGGTCGGGTGACGGTGCAGAAACACCATCTCGTCTCCAGGTGGATGGCTTCGAGCCTGCCCGACGTGGCAGACATGCGCCGCGGAGTGTATCCGTTCACCGGGACACCGACGGCGAACGAACGACGGCGTCGGAACTCGCCGAGGCGAAACGGTGCAGCGTGGTGGGAAGAGTTACCTCTTTTTGGGGGGCATGTAAGAAGGTTCGAGGTGGACGTGGGCCCACACGCATGAAGACCAAGTTGCTCGTGAAGAAGAGGAAGAAGAAGAAGAAGAAGAAACAATTACGGTTGTAGGATGCTCAAGGGTTACCAGACGAAATCATATTTGGGTATGGGTAGAATTGTGAGGCATGTTGCACTCTTGCAAGGCCTGGCTGCAAGTCGGCTGATAGGAGTGTCCTTGTGGAATTGTCAACCTCTCAGGACTCCTGTTTATAATTTACTTTGGTAAACTGACTATGTAGAAAGGATCATATTGGGAGTATTTCACCCTCAACCCTAAACCCATCCTCTCAAAAGTTCCATAACCTTATAGCAGGTGTGTTTTTCTACCCTTCTGTGCTTTGCATTCCTCCCCTTGGCACCCCCCCAACAAGTTCTGCAGGCCTATCCACGCAGCCGAGTCTCACGTGACTCTCCTTCGGTAGTTCCTTCAATCTCCACTCGATCCACCCGGCCACGATCCACCCACCTCCGGGGTGTCACGGCACGGCCCGAGGTGATCTATTCCCTGACCATCCGGCGAGGCGATGCCCACTGGCCCATCCGCCGGCGCTTCCGGCAGGACCGGGCGAACGGATGGACTGGAGGTTTGGACGTGTCGGCCGAAGGTGGCGGTTTTGGGCGCTGCAGGTCTGGTGAAAAGAGTTTAGGGGAGGGGATGGTTTCGGGCGAAGGCGGGCTGCTGTGGAGGCAGGTGCAGAATGATGCATTCAACATCATCCGCAGGTCTCGGTTCCAATCTTTAGGAAACAGAGTCAAGGGTGCAGAAATTCATACTCATCATACTCGTCCGCTGATTTCCCAGCTCATCCTGGCAAATGTGAACCATGTTCTGAAGTTTCAGACTGCGTTGCTTTCGACCATCTCCTATTCAGTGTTCACATTGAGTGTGCATGTGCATAGGGAGACCTCCCAGTTCGACCCCTTGGAAGGTTCGGGAAATCGACTAGTCTACTTTCCTGAAATATACACCCACAATCACCCACATATCATGCTGCTAGTGGCTTCCAGCTCAGTGGCCGCCTCCCACCTGACTTCCAACCAGGTGGCCAAGTTGCATGAGCAGCTGCTGCTGGGCTTTGGCAGGCGATGTGCTGAGCGAAGCCGCAAAGCGCGTGTTTTCTGTGGGTACCGAAAATATCGCAACGACGTTCCCCTGAAATCGATTCAGCCTATTTGCGAACCACCAGGGTTTTGAGAGCCAGGCCATTGGCCACAAGGCCACCGGTTCTCAAATGGAATGCCCATGGACACCCTTCTGGGTCCTGGTATGAATTGGAGTCTCAGGACGTACCTCAGAAAAGGCTTAGAAATACATGTGTTATTTGTATTTTGTTTAAATAAGATCATGTGAGTCATGTCCCATTAAGGTACTCTGGGGGGTCCAGGTACCACAGTCTACCTCCCCATTCTTTCTCGGATCCGCGCATGCGATCCGCGCCAGATCCTCGATGAAGAGTGGCCTGCCGCGGCTGCCACCGAAGGTGACCTGCAGGTGCGGCCACGCACGGTGCGTCGGTTTGATGTGTTCGATGCTGAGTGTTGGTTTCATGTTGGGGTCATGAAAGTTCTTTATGTACATCCTCAGTGAATGGTTGTCCCAAATGGGACGTCTCTTGGAGGACCGTGGTTGAACCGTGTTTAAACCAAAAACCCAGGAAGTTTTGTAACCCTTTGACTTGAGTGGGGAAGTTTTGCCTGAGAAAAAAGCGCGTGCCTCTACTGGCTTTGTGCACGCCTCGTTTGTCGTATGTGCGCAACTGATCTTTATCATTTTGACAATGGAGGCCAATGCGTTGAACATCTCAATGCACGTTTGCCCCGTGTGGGATACTACCTTTTTCTATGGAAGAACTCCTGCACCACCTGTTTTGATGCGAACATCCACGGTATTTCCCCTACCCGGTACCAGTGAATAAGCGGATAACCTTTCCACTGGGGGCTCTGGGGACACCCACTCATGAACTATGACCTCACGAATCACTCCATCGGTGAAACTGAGGGACCCCTATGGATCCCACACATGAGGTTCGGACCTCAGAAGGTTGGAGACACAGGTTCTGACAGGCTGTCTGTGGCTCCAATCACTTTCGCTAGGGCTCCAGTCGGACCCTCTAAAGAAAGGTATCTGGACCCTCCTGGCACCCACCCCAGTCCCACCTTCTCAGGTTCGGTACGACTGGAGCCCTAGGGTTTCTGAGGTCCGGTTTAGGGATCCCGGGAGCTCCGTCCGTTCCCAAGAGTGCCTTGTCGCGTTCGCGGCGGGCCGGACCGGTGCGTGACGGAGGTCGTTGTTCTTTGGTCAACAAGACCAGCGCTTCTTGCAGATGCGAGCCGGGAAGCTTAGGTGTACCAGCTTAGGTGGGATCGGAGGGGGTGAGAGGATGGACCAGACATGAAAAGAAGAAGATGTTGTTTGAGAGACATACTTGATCCATATGCCATATGTATTAAAAAGGATGAAGTATCTTATCACGAGTTGACGAGAAGAGTCACCAGGGTCCAAAACGTCCTCGATGGGTGTTCATGTGTGGGACAACGAGTCTCAGCACCTGGCAATCTCCCTTGCCTATGTCTGCCATTCTTTGCCTTCATCCTTGGGTGATCCGATTTCTGCAAACTCACAGAGAAACACAGTTGAAGTCACAAGGCCCAGACACTCCATGTATGCCATATATGCCTACATTGACCCCCAAAACCACCCCAATGTAGGCAATATATGGCATACATGGAGTGTTTGGGAGGTGTAAGTCAGTGTTTGACTCTTTGCTGATCCATATGGATCCACGGCCTTCTTAGACCTGGCCTTCATATATAGGGCCTTCTTTCCAGAAACCGACCTGGAGAACTGCATCGACCTGTTAGGACCGTACCGTGGGGGTTCGCCCGGGGTGGGTTCCATCACCACCCAGTTCGGGTGATTCTTGGACCCGGTACATCGATAGTCAGGAGGGGGGGGGTCATGAACTGGGGGGTGCTGGAATGCTGCCCACCCAAAGTCTAAAATGGACGGAGCCAGGACTTCGCCAAAGAACCAATTCCATTGAACTGGTCAAACTTCCAGTCCATACATATATATACACTATTACACTATCATACAAACTAATAACATTTAACATATATTCCAGGAGTTTGAAAGGGGTGCTTTATGGAGGTTAGGGGTGCCCATCACCCAATCACTTAGGGACTAAACACCAACCCTTTGTGACCCCTGGTTCAGAAACACATGAATGCACGAAGTCAAAGAGGTTCTTCGGAATGAGACACCGAGTCGCTCTCCTTTTTCATGTACACTCTCCTTGGGTTTTGACGTTCTTTGAAATAGGCCGTGGGGCCAGGCCGTGCCCGAAAGGAAGATGAAATCCGAAAGCCCAACAGGTGGTGTTGTCTCCACTTCCATATACACCCTGGAAGACTAACATGGACCCTGAAAACCACTGGTTGATAGAGGAAAACACTCTTGCAGGGGGGCCATTGTCAGGGTCTATGTTAGTTTTCGGGAGTGTATTTCATGGAGTGTACTCCTTGTAGCAAGTTTTTGATGCTTTGATCTGGTTGACCTTGGCTAGGAAAACCAGCAGAAGGTGGTTGCGCGAAAAAAAATGGGAGTGCTTTGGTCAGGTACTCTTGCACCAAACGTTTCAAACAGCGAGGAAATGTGCTATGCGGGCCAGACCTAGGTTTTCAGGATATAGAGATGCTGAGATGCTGTTGGTTCTTAAAGTGTGCAGCATAGTGATCCTGTGCCACCTAAGATACCCAAAACATCCCAAAACACAAAATTCGCATGCCGTGCATTCGTTGCCTGCATGGTGACCGCATCTGCCTTTGCAGTCCAATTTGACATGGGCACATGGGCACATGGAAAAATAAACATACAAACAAGTACATGCATGATCAATGATACCTTATGGCTTCCTCCGGTTCTCTGCTTCTCATGTCGTTGGCGCTTCTCATGTCGTTGCCGGCGGCCGGATATGAGAGAGCCATCATCGAGGTCACACGGGTTTTTGCGGCACAGACTGCTAGTATAACACAAGCTAGCACTGAATCAACGTATCCGGAAAAAGATGAATTTCCTTGTCTCAACCATGAGTCGGACTTGGATATTTCTGGTCTATGCCATACTCGATGAAAACAAACTACATGGGGATTCATGGGAATGGATCCGGTGCCATGCCCCACATGGATTCATGAGTGTGTATTAGTATAGGGAGACCGCCTCAAAGACCATCTGGAAGATGGGGAGATATACCAAAACCCCAAGTGGTTGGAAGACCTCCCTATGCAAATACACATCCCAGAAGTCACAAGACGGGGTGGTTTCGTTCGTCCCATCCAGGGGCCGTGGATCATGGGGACCGCCCTATCCTCCAAGTTCAGCACCCCGTCTTGTGACTCCTGGTCCATCTATTCTTTTTCCAGAGAGCTCCAACCAATCCACTTGACCACGCGCAACACATGACCATCCGAGAGATGTGGGCGGCAACGCTTTTCCTGTGGCCAGTGCTCTCATGGGCCGGGCCAGCTGAACAGTGACCGGGCCAGAAGCGGGAAGCGCTGGAGGGACCAAGTGTCTTGAAGAAAAAGGAAGAAATTAGGGGCTCCTGGCCAGGAGCAAGGTTCGCCACGAATGGAGCAAAGGGCATTGCTACGAACGGAGCAAGGACGCTTCTAGGGGCTCCTGGCCTTACTACTATATAAACTAAAATACAATTGTGTTCACGATATAAGACAAGCGAGATCACCCTTTGTTCTCAGTTCTGTTTTATATATTTTGCATTGTTTCAACATGGTCAATGGTTTTTTCACAGTTCAATCTTGGGACATGAAACATCATGAAACCAAGAGAGTTCTTGTATCCCAGCACCTCCCAGCACCCCACTCTACAGGTCTTCGAAATGGAGGCTGAAATGGAGACCTTTTTTTGGTCGCAGGTGGTGACCCGTTGGAGTGTCCTGGTAGTTTCTTGTGTGAAGAGTGGTGAACTCCACTTAGGTTCTTGGAAGCTCCTAGATGTAGCTAAAAGCTACTATATAGGTTGGAGGCCACCACCATTAGGCCGGAGGCCATGACTACTACTAGCTAGAAGCTACTACAGGGGCTCCTGGCCTTACTACTAGGAGCAAGGACCCCACTAGGGGCTCCTGGCCATACTACTAGTAGCATTCTTACTACTAGGAACAAGAAGCTACTACATGGGAACAAAAAGAAGCTAGAAGCTACGTAGATAGCGTCTTTGCATGTCTTTGCTACTGATGCTCCTAGATGGACGACTTGATGTTTTGTCTAGTGGATTGAGAGTAGATGACACGTCGTTCGGGTCCCTAGTCGTTCAGGGGGGTTCTATGGACCTCCATTTGGTCGAAGTCATTTGGGGTGCTGGTGCCATCGAACCTCTGAAACCACTGTCAATTCAAGGAAGATGGCCTCAAGTTGCCCAAAGCCAATGAGTTTGAGAGGAGGCTGCTTTTCTGGTGTGTTTGACATGGAAATGACTCTAAGACTCAGAGCCTCTTTTGGAGGAAAATGGAATGGAGCTGGAACGCAGGTCCTACATCTACAGGGTGGATCAGGATGCTCTTAATGTGATATGTCCCGCAAACAAACACACCTGTTGATCCCCCCTTTGCCACTCAAGGAAAAACCTTTCCAAGTGACAAAAACTGGCCAAGTGTTCCACAACGTTTCGACCCGGGCGCTGAGGTTCCTGTCCGAGGACTTCTTCCCAGGTTTTCACATCCTGGAGAAGCTGGAGGAGTCGCCGATCTACCAAGTCTACGATCGAGGCGCGTGCTTCGTGTGAAGGTTTGAGTCAGTCGGAGAGTGAAAGAGTAACAATCAACACCAACAGAGGTTCAACGTCCTTATAGGACTCTGTAGTGGTACATATGGGATGGGCTATATATAGGGCGGGCTGTTCAACCTCTCTTGGCAGCGCCAAGCAGCAGTGATGAGACCTAATGAGGTGGATTCCTCTTTTTTGCCTGGCTACAACTCCGGATGAACTACATGCATGATTTGTAGCCACAAACATCTCTGGCAGCTGTTGTTGGCCAACTTTGAACCAACATATTGAAGCCAGATACCGCTCTGACACGAGTGTTTCTCAAGAGTCTTCGCGTTTGGGGGGTTTCTACGATAGACTTCCCTTCTTTTCTGAAGCATACCTGATCTTTTGCCTTCAACATCCAAACCCATTGTATCTTGATGCATTGTAGGTGACACACCTGCTAGTAGGTCACTTTCTGGAGGTTTTTGCAGTCTCCAATGGTGTCATTCTCAAGTCCTCTCCCCTCGCCCACGACTGGTGCGCGCGCGCCCTGCGCCCTACGACCGAGGCCAGCGCTTGACCGATCCTCCACAATTGGATTGGTCGAAGGCAAAGGATCTGGCCGAAGCTCAAGAGCGTGTCTCGATCTGGCCCAAGTCGCCCAGTGAATCCTCCACAGGAACGAGGAGGTACCCTGCAGGGGTACCTGGAGGTACCTGGACCCTCCAATAGTGGGACATGACCCTCAAAACAGCAGGGAGGTGTTCTTGCAGTGTCATTGTAAGAACTAGGTGCGCGCGGAGCTTTGGGACAAATTGTATGTTTTTACGGGAAGGTGTTGGAAACAGAGGCTGTACTTATCCCATATTTGGCTAGGAATGCAATCATCTGGCCCATCTTTTCTTTTCCCAATGAAGTTGTTTGGGTTGTTGCACCAGAGGCACAAGATTGATGTACCCAACCTGTTTGACGAAAGGTCTATGTGGCAGCGAGCTGTCCTCCAATCTCAACATTCCTGGTTGGTCTCGTTTGTACAAATACAATCGGCCCTGGCTTGACGATAGGATACTTGTACTATCCAGGCCCACTCGTCAAAGGCAACAAGAGCAATACCCTCTCTGCCCCTGGGCCTCTGGGTCGGACATCCAAAAACGAACCATACCTAGGAACAAAACCCTAGCGCGCCACACCGCCTCGGCAGTCTGTCAAACGATCTTTCATGCCAAAAGGAGGCGGATCACTTGGGTTCCACCCTGTGGTCGTCCACGTAACCTCCATCATCCACGGCACGTATGGCACCGCGCCAAACACGCAGTGCACCGACGCGAGCAAGGCTTGGAATCCTTGCTGAAGATCCCTCCCAGAGATGCTCGGAGCACCTATACGGAGCACCTACATAGTGAATAGGAAGAAGAGACCACCTTGAACACCACGCCTCTTCGTTGGTGTTCCGAGTCTGGTGGATCTAGAGATTCACTACAGCCGAAGAATCCCCTTGCACCAGTTTCTCCAAAGCACCTACGCTTTTCAATGTTCTTTGCAGGGCCCGGCAGTGGAGGATTCAGTTCGTGGTGGATTCCGTTAAAGTTGTCCGCCGTTCGGTCCAAAGTGGTATGCAACTGACTTCGGTGCACGAGAGATAGGAAGAATGATGTTTCTTTCAGGGTGTACCGTGTACCCGGAGATGGGCTCCTGGCCCATCTCCTCAGGTGGTATTCGACCCCCCTGGCATCCACCCCAGCCATCTTCTGAGGAGGTGGGCCAGGAGCCCGAATCGAACGGAGTATGTCCAGCTGACGGCGACGTCACGGGTTTTTGGGCCCTTTTCGCTCAGAAAGGGGTGAGATGGTGTGGGATGGATGACCATTTTTCGCAAAGGGGCCAGGCAAAGACAGTCAAGTAATGGAGTTTTGCCTGGAGCAGGCTTCCTAGCAAACAACCTCCCTTTTCGTTGAAGGCTAGAGGCCCTCACGAAACCGGAGTTTTCTACTGGGTGAACGCAGGTTTCTCCCAATGGTGGAAAACCCGCTGATCCCGGCCTAAGAACACCACGGACAGGTAATTGTGAGTAGGTGGTTGGCGGAGACTGCTACAACTCAGTGACTGTAAACCAGTTTTGTTGCGCAAAGTACACAGAAGACGCACAAGGAGATCACAAAGCTGCATGTCATCGTGTCCTTTTTCCTTTCATGGCATTGCAATGTGTCATCACCCTCTTTCTGTGGTGGACAAGTCATCCAGTTAAACATGAGTGCATTCCCTTGAGCAGCCTAGCCTAGCATCACTTGGACCCCTTGGAATGAGCCGGGAAGGCCTTCTGCACACCGAGTCATCGGTGCCACCGAGTCATCTCGTCCCCTCCAAGGAAGAGATGCAGCTCCCCTGCGCCTTCTTCACGCCTGACGGCGAACGGATCGAAGCACTGCAGGGCCACGCAGCAGCAGTTTTGTGATGGCAGAACCCCCCTCCAAAACCGCTTCTTGTTCTTGGGCTTAAACCTGCAGCATTTGTGATCCAGGTCTTCTACGATCTCCGGTGCTCTTCTTCCTCGAAAATGGACAGTGGATGTGGCCTGCGGTGCGCATCGGCTTTCAGCAAAATGCACCTCGACTGATGAGGAATCATCATGCGGATGTTTTGAGAGGAAATCGGCATGGAACTCCAAACCATTAAGTCACGTCAAGAGAATTTGGATGTTTGGCTTGCAAATCATCACAACTTTGGTTTTTGGATGTTTTTGGAGTCTGTCAGACTGCCAGCCGTGTTTTCTCACCATCACAACCCTGCCTCATCCAGCCCCGCTTCGGGCTCGATGCGGCACGGGCTCTGCCTGGATTCCTCTGCATCCCTCCACGTTGAGTGGCTCGGAATCCCCTGGTGATCGGCGGATCGATCGGCTTCTTCGAAAGCGGTAGCGGTGCCATTGGACGTACACGTGGGCGTCGCCAGCGGTCCAGGTGGTTCCTCCAACTCCGGTGGGGGGTCACTGTTGATGGGTTGAAGCTTGCTATAGGTCTCCCGACCCTTTCAGCACTCCATGGACTTCAGCCGATCCATCGGTGAGGTCACAGGGCTGCCGGACGTCTACTTGACCACGCTGTCGCTGCGGCCGGCTGTGTTTGAAGTGCGAAACTTCATGTCCTCCCAGGCCATTTCGGGACGGTGGGACTGGGAGTGGTAGGTGGGGGGTGTTCAAGTGGATGTGGCACCAGGATCCTGGCTGTTTCAAATTGAATGTAGACTCTTGATTGATAACTCCCTCCCCATGATTCCCCATTTGGATTGGACAAGCTCCTCATATGTGTTTGTTTAATGAATCAAGCTGTCTACATCACAAGCTCAAGCTGGTGACACCCAGAAACCTGCAAGATCCTGCTGTCATTTGCCTTTGTTTGATGCATTCGCATATATGATAAAGCCTCCATCGATGATGGACTTTTGCGCTCAACGCCAACAAAGAACATCACACATGTTGAAGGGTGGCACTGAGCACATATTTATGGGCGGAGAGGACCTTGACAGCCTCCTCCACTCGCACCAGCCTGCACACTCCATGTGTCTTTGTTGTTTGGTTTTTCGACCCGGACCAGGAAGCCGATGAAGTCATGGCGATCGGCGCGCAGCAGGGTCTGCATAGCTCCAAGGCTGGAGCAATATCTTTGCTTTGGCTTCGGAGAGTACTTGGGGGGGCTGTGTGGACTAATGCGAGCTGACCTCCAGTGAGTTCTGGGTGTCCGCCAAAACCCGCCCTTTCACCTATCCCCTTCTCACGTGGATCTCCTTGTTCGTCTGACTTCGTCTCTTCTGCATGTTTGGGGGAAAACACATGACCCACCCGGTGCCACCCATGACCGCCCTGGGGGGGCTTGCTGCCACCGTGACTAACGCTTCTCGACCCGCGGACGGCGAAGGGCGTGGCCGGGCGTGGGTTCTCGGGTTGAACGGGTTTGGTTTCGGGGTTCGGGTGGCACGGGTGGCACGGAAGGAACCGTCAGACGTGTCGGGTGGAAGGACTGGGAGAACCAGGTCGGTTAGGACCTTATAAGGAACAGTCTTTGTTTTAGGGAGTGTTTTGTTTGTTGAACCAAAATATCAAGGATTTGTTGAAACTATGTGGTTTGGACATGGTATGATTTCTTGCGCTTCCCCGCTTCCCCGCGCTACACCCTGAACGTTGCATACGTCTTTGGCTGACAGCTTGCTCAGTTGAGGAAGCTGTTGTTGGTAACCTATGTTGTTGCGTAACCCTGTCTTTCATCATAGTATGTCCTGAAGGGTCATGTAGCAAAATGTTGTTGCGTCCTTCGACCTTCTACTTTTTTTTGGAGGTCAAGTGTTTGGACTGGATGTTTTGTTTTAAGCGCATACAAATTCCTCATAACAAAAGAACATACAAAGTATAGGCTTTGCCTGTGCCTTCGCTGGTACTTGAATAGTAGTATAAAGAAATCTCCCGGCGCATCCCCAGTGTTTGATCTTCCCGGACGCTGCACAAGGGCCCAGGAGGAAGCGAAGGTGCTGTAGAAGTGACTTGATAAGTGACTTGACTTAGGGATTGGAAACCCGGGAAAAAAAACAACCTGTTACTCGTTGTCCATGTCACATATCCACTTTCGGTAAGCACTTCTATTTAACATTCAGCTACATTCATCTCATCGTTCAATCATTCTGCTGGCATGATTCTGAAGAGTGGCTTCTGAAGGTCTGAGGCTTGGCCTTTGCGTCAAAGGTGAAGATGTATACCGCCGGCACCGCCATCTCTGAGGCCTGGCAATTGTAGGCGCCAAGCAGCCCCACAAAAAAAACAGGCGGTGTCTTTTGGTTGGTTGACCAGCCTCAGCGACATGTAAATAGCTTTAGACACGAACAGCGAGCCAAAGAACCTCCGCAAAATCAGAGGGATACAGACATCACGCTAGATTATTGAGCTAATTTGACTTGAGTATACAAACAGCTATCATTATTATTGCAGGCAATTGCGCAGCACCTGTTCCTATTCCCTTAAATTTGTCGATTCTTTTGGTCGAACGCGCAGCCCCCATGCTGCTGCTTGCAATCGGCTATGCCGTCCTTTGTGCCTTCCGTGATTCTTGTAGACGGTCTAGGCAGCAGGCGGTGGACGCGACAAATGCAAACAAAAAACGAAGATCAATGAACAATCAACAGGACTGGTTTGGCCCTTTCTATGCTGGTGAGCTTGGGGCAATTTTCTGTCGGAGGTTTTTCTTTGGGCGCAAGCAAAGCTAGAGCTGTTGGCTGGGGCCACAACACAAAAAATGTTCACGAAACATGCACCGTTGCATTTTGCCACGTGCTGTGGCACAACGTGCGTATGCGGACTGCCTGCACCCGCCGGCTTCCCAGCAACACAGCTGGACTGGGAAGAGCCGCTCCCCAGCGACGTCTTCGCAGTATACACTGTCACCTTCCCAGACCCGATGAGGATCAAGAACCAATGGTTACGATGCAGGGCCGCGACAAACTCGCCAACCAGGCAGGTGACAATGGGGCGCCTTCCGCGCTCAAACCCATGCTGTTTGCAACGTTGGCAGCGCTGCCGGCCACAAAAATCGCAGTGTGCCGTTTGCAATGCCGAAACCCAAAAACGGGAATATATTGCACCTTTTGGACTCTCCTACTTTTCATTTATGATCGAGGCACTTGCACAGCACCTAAAACTAGTCTTAGATGTGTGGGTGCTTATTACTATGTTTTTATTTGCTTCTATTTCCATGTTTAAGGCATTTCACAGCACCTGGACTAATAACCTTCCTTCTGGGCACTTCTGCAACCCAGGAGAAATAAAATACTGGAGATATTCCTGGAGATGTCCTTACTGCTATTTTAGTACCAACGAAGGTAAAGGCAAAGCCTATACTATGTATGTTCTTTTCGTAAGAGGTTACCAACAACAGCTTCCTCAACTGAGCAAGCTGTCAGCCAAAGACGTATGCAACATTCAGGGTGTAGCGCTGGGAAGCGGGGAAGCGCAAGAAATCATACCATGTCCAAACCACATAGTTTCAACAAATCCTTGATATTTTGGTTCAACAAACAAAACACTCCCTAAAACAAAGACTGTTCCTTATAAGGTCCTAACCGACCTGGTTCTCCCTATCTTCCACCCGACACATCTCCGGTTTCGCAGGTCAAGAACACATACACCAGCTTTCGAGACCCCCCCAGTGAAAACTCGGGAAAGATCCCTCCTCTCCACCCTCCTCTCCTCTCCGCCCCCTCCTCTCCACCCGGCAATCCGTTCCTGCGCACGGCCAGGGACAGATGCAAAGCAATGACCTGAAGAAAGGCACCTCACATGCCTCCTTTCGGACCTCGAAGCTCCTCGGGCGGAAGTGACTTCGAAGAGGTCACCGTCATCGTCGCCTCGGCGGGAGAAGGACCGTCCGTCCTGAGATCGTCCGACGTTTCGTGGGGAGTGGTCCGGAGCCCAAGCGCTTCGGAGCGCCCAAGCGTGGTGGGCGTGAAATGGACCATGAACGAGCCATTTTTGGTGGCATTTCCTGGGTTTTGCCCGTTCGGAAAGACTGGTCGGTCACTGGATCTGGAGCTGCTTTCTTTTTCTGGGGCCCTTTAACCGGGATTGTTGAGGGGACTGCAGCGATGTTTGGAGAAACGAGGTGAAGTGACCCGTGGAGTGAAATCGAGGTGAAGTGGGCGAGTCCTCGAACGAACTTAGGACCGGAACCGGTGCCACACTCCACTGACAGGATACTTGAAACTACAATATTTTTTGGACATCCAAGTCACCTGCAGACGAAGTCAGGTGTGGACCAGGGCTGTGGGTCAAAACCATGAGGACCAATTGATTGATCCGGTTGACCTACCTGGAAGATTAAGCTACATGGTGGACCAGGGCTCCAGGTTTGAACCTGATCAATATGACATGCACCCATACTTGTTAATTGTAGTTTCAAGGTATAAGCTACACCCCACCTTCCTTGGTTGGAATAGGTAGCTCCCAGACTCGGTTCCTTCGGGTACTTGAAGGGTCGCCAGAACAGGCAAGCCTGGTTGAGCAACGATCTTGCTCCCATCATTGCTCGCTTGGATGAGAGCCCCTTGGACCACTAAGAGACTCTCGGGCTGCGCCGGGACCGGACCCCAAAACCATCATATTCATGTTTGAGAAGTCGGAGTTGAGAGGGTTCAACATCGCATATCCGCAGGGGTTGCATGACATTAAAGTTGTGACTGGACGAACTTTGTAAAACACGGATTTAGAATGATTTAGCAAGATTTGTGTTTTTTGGGGTGTATATATATTCTTAAAGTTCTCAAATAAGATCATTTTACCGGATGGGTTTGGAATAGCTGCTGCATCAGCGATGGTGGCTCCAATCGTAAAGATTTTTTAGGATTTGGTGCACTTCATTGCATTACCCTGGGGATCCAAGTACCTTCTCAGAAGGTAGTGGTTGGAGACACTGTTCTGTAGGTTTGGAGGGTCCAATTTCCTTCTGAGAAGGTACTTGGATTTGGTACCTGGTACACTTGCTTTCGAAAATACAATTTTTTGACCACATACTTGATATCACACCCAGATCACCCAGACCATCGATAGTAACATTACACACACATTTACCTTTGTTTTATAGCATCCATGTAGGTAGGTAACTTGAGTATTCCGTACTCGGATAGTTTGGGACAGATCACAGATTAGGTTTGATGCACATTTACGACGTCCGGCCCCACTCGTCTTAGTTTGCTATCCCCGACCAAAAGCTCGCAGGAGCTAAGCTGGGGCAGCTAAACCTGATGAACATTCATAGCTCTTCTGGAGGCTTTCTCTCCGCTGTTGTAGCCAGCCTTGGGCCTCCATGGCCCTTTTCCATTGATTCTCCAGTCTGGCAAGGGACGTTTATCTCTTTTGCTTCCCATCCCACCGGTCCATTTCAGTGGGGACCTCCTATCCAACCATTGGCTTCCCATCCGGGCCGCCAGGCCTCGTCATCCACCCACCTGTCCCGCGCCGCACGCCGTTCCAAGGAACGGCGCAGGTGACGCGCATTCCGGCCGAGCACAATGAGCCGGTGCAACTGCTCCGCTACGACGCTGGGCCGGCGTGGTTCGGGTCATACCGGGTCATTCAAGAGATAAAGAAGGGGGTACAAGAGGGTGCAGGGTTGACTCCGCCACGCGGATATATATAGAGCTGATTTCATGGTGATAGGCATCACTAGGTTCAAGTCTTCTGTTGTTTCCTGTTTTAAAGTCTTTTTTGTTATATATGGTAAGTTGATCGGACTATAGATCGATCGAATCGTATCTTGGATGTTGACCGCAGTGTTGACCACTTGATTCATCACCTTATAGTGAATCTAGTATGTGTTCATATGTGTTCTATATATCCCTTCTGAAAGGGCACTCAGAGCGCCCAAGCTGCGTCACATGGCGTCCCTTCCAAGAACTGATTGGGGCACTGCCGATTCGAAATGGATTCTCTTCAACTTGACAGCTAAGGACACTGGGACCTACTACCATGCACACATGGACTGGACTGAGCTGGCCGCTTGTGCGAGCCGAATGGGGACAGAGCTGGTGGAGCGGGTGGAGGGTGAAACCATGTCTAGTGTTGAGTCGAACATGGCTTCGCTTCAGATGGTCCTGGACGACCCAGTTTTGGGGTTATGTGCAAACATGCTGCAACCATGGCATCTCTATGTAATGAATTGATTCGGAATGATTCACATCACATCAAATCACCCCCGATCACGGGTGTGCGATTCTCGTTGTGGAAGCTCTGGTTTTGATTCCTCTTCGGACCATTGCCTCGGTGGCGGAGTGGGTGTATCACATCTCCATAAACCTCCTGTGTATCACAAGAACCAAATGCATTGGGTTTGTCCTATTGCCTGTAACAGTCAGTAAAGAATTGATATCACATATCACATCACTGTTGAACAAGGCATTTAGTAACCATCATCATCATCCACTGAGGCCCTGGCAATAGGATAGATCCAACACATTTATGATGTTTCTCTTTGCTGATTACTCACGCCAAGCTGCTGATCGAGCAGATTGGTTGGATGAGGGAGCTTTGCAAAACCAAAGTTGCAGACCCCGGGCTTTGGGTGAGCACCGCGCTGGCTTGACCCACGACATGCACTATGACTAGCCTTGACTGCCTTGGGAGCCAAGAAGCAGGGGATTGCTGCCTTGCTTCGCACGGAGCAGCTGGTTTTTTGTTCGATGTCCCGAGAGCACAGAGCGACGCGTCAGCTGGCTTCTGCCCAGGACTTCTACCCAGATCAAAGACACATCTGGATGGACTCCCATTTTGGTCACTTCGACCGTTTAGCCACCCTCTTCTGGCCGCCTGGCTAGAATACCTGGCTAGGTGGAGCTGTGGTGGCTCAACTACCATTTACATCCCATGGGAGAGCCTCCAGGTTCTGCTTAGCGTTGATGTGTGGGTGCGGTGACACTCAACTTCATAAACCCATCACAACGGAGGCTGTGCCGTGTTCGATGTTGGTGTTCAATTCGGGTAAGCTTCTAGTTTCATCAACGTTCATCTCAGAATGTCGTTGATTGTATCCCCCAAACTGGCGCAGATCCGTGTGGTAGGGTGAGAGTCTTGTTGCTCATTTATGTGAGGATGACAGTTTTTTGTCCTAAACGAAAAGGAAGCTACGCTGCTACAAAACGTCAGCTGGTCAGCCATGTGGCCACTTGGAAGCTATTCGAAGTGTACATTGGTAGGGAACCAGCAGGTTTTCACGTACTTCATCGGTCCAATAGATGGGAAAAAGGGGGGAACCTTCAAACAGGTCAAACACTGCTGGCTACACTTCTCATGTGCTGGCTTTGGTGTTTGAAGAGTGAATATGATGCGTGGCACGAAACGACCATGACATGACGAGATTATTATTGGATATCACTATGTGTAACAATGAACAAGAATCACAATAACTATGTGGGTACAACGTCCCTCAGACCCTGTGGACGGCAGCAGCATGGTCGGCAAAAACGCCTTGGAATTCCGATCAAAATTGAAAAACTGTGAAACTGGGGTCGTCCGAAACTAATGACTTCGACATCCGACGACGCACACTTTCTCTTTCAGCGCAATTTGCAGGCAGCAGCTAGCTGCTTCAGCATCTCATCAGGTGTGAGATCTGTGGTAACCTTCAGGTTTCGGCGCCACAGCCATTGGTCCACTTGTAACTTCAACACAGCTTAGCGTGGAGCCGACACCTGCTTAGCAAAAACTTTTCTCTGATGGCTGACTTGCACTATCGGCACCTTCAAGTCTTTGGCAATTTTCTGCCACGAGAGCGCCCCGTCAGCATACAAAGCAGGCTTGGCTGCACACAAGGATCATCTTGGAACAGGTCCGCTTCGGACTCCATTTCCTGCAGTTGATTAAGTTCAAAAAAAACCGTCCGCAGAATGAGGCCCTTCTTCTTTTGGAAAAGTTAGCATGGCAAGGTCTGCAACCAAAAAATAGTAAAAAGCTGAAATCTGCAATGAGGAATCTTCCAATTCTCGTTTGCGCTGCATTTGTCCGCGTAGAAGATCGCGACTCAAAGGAGTCAAAGGTTGATCGTAGTCGTAGTCATGTTGATCTTCCCAAGAGCAAGGAGACAATGGTTCCTGAGTGTGGTTTCCGTGTCATCGTTGCAAGCATGTTCTTAGGCTATTCTTCTTCCAACGAGACGTGGAACAAAAGCAAATGCCAACCCTTGAACACTGCAAAAGTCCTTCATAGCAATTCCACGACCATCATGCGGATAGCGTGCAACGTCCACACTACAGGGGAGAATGAAAAAAGTTTGGGAACAGAGAACTTAAGACATCAAGTGGCCAGTATTGGCCGTCGTTGCGGAGGCGTTGCAGGGGCTGAAGTAGATGGCCTAGAAGGACTGTGAGAGACTAGCTTCCTCAGATCAAATGAAACAAAGTGTGGTGTCGAGGCTTGCACATACGACTTTTGTCGCCATTAAAAGTCTCCATGTAAGAGCACATGTCAATAGCACCCCACCCCACCCCACCCCATCCATCGCGTAGCATCTGCTACCTTAAACAACTCCTCGTAACGCCAAGTTGCAGAAACGGAGTTCCCGCATCCATGCGCCGACGCAGCGTCACCAAAGCGGCTGCTACAGATCCATCTCGTGATCCATTGCCGTCGCAGAAACTGAACACATGTTGACATCCTTTTCATGAATGTGTGCAAGTGGTTGAGATTCAAGTTGCACAAAACAAAAACATCTATCTCGTTTCTCCTGCTTCTATTTCATCTGTCCGGGTAAAGGATACCTGCCTACCTGGGCCTTGATGCCACGACGCCGGCGTGCAAGAGAAAAAAATCGTGCAAAAACTGATTCAATAAAGCCCGATCGCGTCATGGCTCACAGGCCCCTGAAGACGTTTTAGGCAACTATGTCCCTGGGTCCCTCCTTAAGATTCTTGGCATTTACGCCTTCCTTCTGAAAACCTGTTGTCGGAGTTGAAGGATGGAGCAAAGCCCATCTTTCTGGAGCCAACTAGCTGTCACAGGGCCCCAACTCTCAACCCATGAGGGTCATGGCACCTGGCGAGCACCATCTTGGGTTGACCTCCCTGGTAGGCCATTCTGTTCATTGTCTATGCTCACCCAAGGAATTTCGGGTTTTGACCCACAACCATATCACACCACTATTACAGCATGGCGCAGCACGCGGATGAAGATGACTCCACAGCATGAAGATGAGTCGTGCTGGTTTCCTCCGGCTGCCCAGGTATTTGAACGATGTTCAGGAGGGCGGGGAGACGATCTTCCCTAAGTGGCTCGGATCTTCAGCACAGGTGCTGGGCTGGTCATGGAATGGATCCCTGTCACGTCAATGAATGAGTTTAGGGAAAAATCTGCAGGAAACCTATAGTTTTGGGGATGAAGACCCTGGTTTCCTGTAGATTTTCCCTTAAAGCCAGTCTATAGATGTGCTGGAGAGAGAATTTTGAGGCAAGATGCTTTAGGACAGACATAGGGAATATAGATGGACCGGATGAAGATGAATGCCCCTCAGATCCCTCAGGATCGTCCACTGAACAACTGAAAAGCATCGATTGCCACGACATGCATTCGACCGTCTCACTACGTGCCAAACAACAGCTATATATATGTATAGCCATCAGCTATCCATGTTGCAGATGTCTTCTCCAAGCATTTCAAAGACAAGACAGTTCTGGATTTTCATCCAGCATCTTCCGGCTATTTTGCATGAAAACCACAACTTCCGCCCCTATGTTTCCGCTTGACCCGGCCACTCGGACTGAACACGCGCATGGCTATTTGCGCCCGGAGGCATGGCCAGCCGATCTGCGCCCCTCGCTCCCTGGGCGGCCCGGCGGCACGCTTCTGCACCGGTGCAAGGGATCCAGACATGAGCAGCTGCGTCAAGGGGCTGAAGGTCCGAGCTGCCGAAACCGCCGTTAACGTCACGGTCGGAGCTGCGTCTGCGCGGTGCTCAGCGCTTTTGTGCAGCGAGCGGTTTTTGGGAGATTTCGGAGTGGCGGTCAGCTGCGTGGGAGTACAGGGGGAAGGAGGAAGAAGGGAGCGAGCGAGCGAAAGGAAGGGCGGGTACGGGGGCAGGAACGTGATCCTGGAGAAGGATTCATTTTGATTGACCATTGTTTGTTGCATCTTGTGTGCCGTGTTGGTTGCATGGATTTTGGAAATCTTCTGACCTTCCACCTTCAATTTCAATCATGGTCTCCAGGCAGTATGTATCATACCCAGTCAGTGGATGACAAAAACCTCTTTTGGAGATTGGGGTTTCCTCACTAAACTTGACATTGAACAAGTGGGAAAGTGTGGAGCATCCTTTTTTAAGGTGTACCATTTGGGCAGTCCCCAAGGGAAAGGATCGAAACCGCCAGGTGCGTCCGCGGAAGGGCACCGCCGTGCTGTGGTACAACTTCTTGGCCACGGGACGTGGAGACCGGAACTCGCTCCATGCGGGCTGTCCTGTGGGTCCGAACGAGACCAAATGGTCCGGGAACAAGCGGCTGGGATGGGAGGCAGTTGGCAGCCGGGGGGGAGGTGGAAGAGGCGCGAAGGGTGGTGGAAGTGTACAAATGAGTGGTTTTGGGAGTGTGTTTGGGCGATTTGATGGTTGGAAAGATCATTCTGAGCTGTTTCACAATCTGATGCAGGATGGCTTCCTTAAAATATGTTTTTCCCTTTCTGAACCGGGGTACATTTTAACAATTGTTAACATATACCGTTTGATTCTACATGTGCAGAGGCAAAGAACATAGACCCTCCCAGATTCATGTTTGCCTGTTCCGTTTGGATTCATCCACCTCCGACCACAATGTGCGTTGCACTCCCATACGCTCCATGTATGCAATATTATGCAATATATGCGTACATTGACCCCTGAAAACCACCCTTAATGTAAATATGCCAGTCCCATGGGCTCTTAGTATCTCTGTTGTGATTGTGCTGCGTTTTTTCTCACCTGGCAGCTGAAACAAGCAATTCCCCATGCTGACTCAGCAATGACCGATGTAGGTGGGCTCAAAGTGAGTTCCATGGGGACACTCATGGAGGAGTGATGTTCTCAAGTGAACTTCGTGATGTATTTTTTCAGGAACGGATGGGTGGAGGACGTTGGATGGGCCACTTCCGCAGATTGCTGAAAGATAGGGCTTCCCCTTTCCTATCTTTCCACTTGTCTCCCCATTTGTCTCCTCACCTTGTCTCCATCTTGAAAGGGAGACGAGGCCAACCCCCTGGAGGCCGAAATCGCCCCCCCTGGCAGCTCTCCCGCAGTCTCTGACTTCAGGAGGCCGCGCCCTGTGACTCAAACCCCCTCTAGTTCAACATATGCACCTGCCAGCAGCCTGTGTGATCAGCGTTTGGTTTGCCTTCTGCGCATGTGGACAGATTCCAACACTGCAGTGTTTTTCGACAAATCTCTTCCAGTGTTTGTCGTCTATGACGGGGTAAACGGCATAGGTATCAAAAAAAAGAGCATCAAAAAAAACATAAAAACAGGATCAAACAAATAACAAAAAGCGAATCAAAAAAATATTCCTGGATAGGCCTCTTCTGCTGCTCTGCTGGCCTTGTGGTCTGCGGGTCCTCTGGTAATGTGGTCCCTTGGTCCTTTGGTCCCTTGGTCCTCTGGTCCTTTGGTCCCCTGGTCCCTTGGTCCTTTAGTCCACTGGTCCCCTAGTCCTCCGGTCTCCTGGTCCTCTGGTCCTGTGGTCCGCTGGTCCCCTGGTATCCTAGTCCTTCTGTCTCCTGGTCCGCTGGTCTTTTGCTCTCCTACGCCGCTCGTCTGTCGATGTCCTGGTCCCCTGCTTGTGCAAATAGAGGCTTGATTGCTTTCTACTAGAGGCAGCTCCCTGGGAAGAAAGTAGGTACTACTGCTACTGCTACCACTACTACTACTCCTCCTCCTGCTGCTGCTGCTGCTACTGCTGCTACTGCTACTGCTACGCTGGTGCTGCTGCTGCTGCTACTGCTACTGCTACTGCCAGTGGGCTAGAAAATTATTTTTTTGATTACCTTTTTACCCCTTTATTGATCCCCGTTGAATATTTTTTTGATTCTATTTTTATTTTTATTTTGATCCCTTACCCGGGGTAAACAGTGTAGTTCCTTAATTGCGGTTGGATTTGCGCATCTGGCACTTGAACCACTTCCAGGCCCAACTAGGTCGAGGCCTGTCCCAATGGCATAAAAGACCTCCAATCGTGTGTTTGCCTGATATCAGCGCACTGAAACAAATACAACATGCAAGCTGAGATGGGTGCGCAACAAGCCTTGGGGTACACCTGGACACTGGATGCCTGGGCACCCTGCCTTGAAACGCTATGGTTGGAGGGCGGACGATGAGGACCGATGCCTTGGGATCCGCGCTGCGGCGTATCGCGGCGTTGAAAGTACCCGGTTTCTTCCTCCCCCGCAAAGGAAGGCGGTTCGGACTCTCATAGACATGATCATGTGAAGAAAGACCATCCTGGACCTTCAAAGTGACTGTCCTTGAGATCCAGGAATGAGGTCACATAGCTCCTCCAAGGTCACTTAGAGACTCCAAAGAGGTCACTTTGAAGGTTCTGGATGTTAACTTCAAGACGTTAAGAAACTCGGACTTAAACTCGGCTGCACAGGCATTCGTTGCCAGGGCGGTTGCGGGGAGAATGCATGGTTCTTTGGATTTGGGCCAGTCGAGGGCATGTTTGTTAGGTTTTGTTCACTCAGCCATGTAATCATATGGGACGATTAGCAGGGAGGAGGTAGGAGCAGGGGAGATGTAGGAATTCTGCATGTGTTTTATCAACTTCATTTTGCATTACAATCACTATCTGCCAGTGTGCAAAAGAATGTTATCGTTCTTGTAAAATGACCTGGTGAACCCTGTTAGTCAAGACCGTGGAGGATATCGAATGGTCATGCCCACGACCAATGGGAGACATGCTTTGGCATGGCAAAGGGTTGAGTTCCTGGAGATGCAGATATTCATTTGGATGCTGCGCATTCATAGATGGACCATGATGGACCTAAAGTTTAGCCTGGACAGACTTGTTAATGCCTCCTTCAAGGGTTTCTTAGCGCTCCCTTTTGTCAACCAACTAAACATATCTAAGCCTAAGCCAACTTCAGCAGAAGAAACCATCCACATGGACCTCTACCTATCTTGAGGCACCAGCAGTTCCATGTCGGAGTGCTTACTGGAGGATAGGGGTGCCCAGAACATCCACTCACTTAGGGACTGAAAAGCACCCCTTTGGAACCTCACCCTTTGGCCCCCGAGAGTTGCAACATGACCTCAGTAAAAGAACGCCTGCTGCAGGATTTTTGGCTGAACGCCCCGGGGCTGTTTGTTGTTTTTGATTATTTGACCCTACTGGTCCTACTGGTGCTTGTGCTAGGAGCCCAGTTGCCATATCGCCTTCCAAAGCCACTCTGATCAGCCGGCAGCGCTGCTGTGGCTCGATGGCAAGAAAGCCATGGAGCTGGCGAAGATCCCCCCGCCCCTCGGCAAATCGTCTCGCCCTACCCGCGGGCGTGGAGAAAAAATGAAGTGCTTGAGTTGCAAAGGTTTGCGACTGGTGGTTGGATGTGTTTCTGAAGATGACCAGGGCTGGCAAACTGAATAGTTTGAGTTATCAGCAGTTATATAGTATAGTTGTTTGGAAATTTGAGGTTGGGCTGCGAAAGTGTGCGGAGTCTTGCAAAAGCGTAGAAGAGTTCTTACAGAAGAGTATACGCATGCATTCGCAGGCTGTTCACTGTTCTATTTTTTGGGAATCAATACCGCATTCGGTGCGGTGCTTCATGTTTTTGAATTGAAACACACTTTGTTCCTAAAAACCAACGATAAAACCAAAAAGAACAAAAAAATCAGTTGTGGCAGCATCATCACATGTATACTGATCTTTGTGAGACCTGGTTGCTGCCTGGTTTGCTCCGTTTTGCCTCATGTTCTTCAACCTTTCGGTGTCCATCCAGGCATGGCAGCATCGCTCAGCTCTCCTATGACGGACATCGTTTCCAGGCGCCGGAGATTGACTCCAAGGCTTCATGACTCACCCGGGAACGGGGCCTTCAAGGCGCCGTTCGGCGTAGCGAAGGGTTCTCGGGGTTCTCGGCCATGGGGTCTGGATTTGGCCGTTGGTGTTCCAGTGCGTGTGTGCACTCCGATCTCGCGAAGTATATATCCCTAGGGCTCCTGGCCCATCCTGAGAAGGTGGTTAGACCCCCCCTGGCATCCACCCCAAACATCTTCTCAGGAGGTGGTTGGAGCCCTAGGGTATACATGTGAACACTTCAGCCCCTTTCTCAGCATCCAGCAAATTGATTTCACAAAGAACCAAAGGCCATCCATTTCGGTCCTATAAACGGCCCACCAAGAGAACAAATGGCCACATCACCGGTGAACCAACGGAGTTCCACATCAAATCAACCGTTTTCAACATGTTGTTCAGCAATTCAATGGAAGCAGACCATGAAAGCAAAACACGCAAAACAGTGTCTCCACACCCTGTGAGCCATCCGAACCAAACTCCGCCATCGACACCAGGGACGTTCCGAGCTCCGGTCGCTCCACTCGCCACAGATCCGGGTCGGTGAGCACAGCAGTCGCCCCGTCAGCTGTCGGGCACCGTCCAGCGACGCTCGGTGGCGCGGTGCGGTACGCGGTGCGATGCGGTGAGGAAGACGGTGCGACGTGAGGTCTGCGATGACCTCAAGCCATGCAGACCTCTGACAGCCTCTTTTTTTGGGGGAGGCGGAAGGTTTTATGGGAGTGTATATTCCCTAGGGCTCCTGCCCACCTCCTGAGAAGATGGGCCAGGGGTGGATTTGGGGGGGTCTAACCACCTGCTGCGGAGATGGGCCAGGAGCCCTAGGGAGACGTCCAGAAGGAGACGTCCAGTCGATGACCTCAGAAAATCAAGACGAAATCCCCTATTAACTGTGTTTCTTTGGGGTGAGTGGATGGCAGCAGGTCCGAAGAACTGAAATTGGGGGAGCCTCCAATCCTCGAAGTGGACGAGCACCTGTTTGGTATTTGTTCAAAAAAATCATCCAACGGTCCAAGGCGCCATACTTGTAGCCATGATGATTTCATTGGAGGTGAGAGAGGTGAGGAAGTTTAGATGATGGGCTGTGGCTTGGATTCAAGACTGTTGGCTGTTGGTCGATGGGCAGAAAATAGCTCCTATGCAATTGGGCTTCATGAAGCACAGGATATTCTGCATGTTTTTGTATATGTATCTGTTTGTTGTTGGCGTCGATTTGTTTAAAGAATGTTTAGAGTGTTTTCATCATTGGCAGCCGCAACACGGCTTGGGTCAGACGTGCAAAGCTCCAAAGGCTTCATGGCCAGGGCGAAGACAAATTATCACCCTTCATGGATGATCAGGTTTCAAGTTCAAGTTTAGATTTGTGTGTTTTCTCATTTAGTGCAGGGTGAAGAAGGGAAGTTGGGTCAAAACCCATAGCTATGAGGTCTTTGAGCAGCATTTGTTGCGCAACCTTGACGAACATGAAGCTTCTCTATATAGGTGATCTATTGAACTTCTTCAAGTCTTTTGTGCCTTGTCTTCCCAAATTCCGCTCAATGTCCTCCCCTAGGGCCCACCAGGGCCCCCCCAGGGGCGGGTCAAGCCTTGATCGTAAAGGCTCACTGTTCAGTGAAGCGACCGCTGGGCCCCGCTGTTTCCGGTGTTCAACCATTTCTGTATGGACCAGAGATTTCTGCTTTGCAACTTGTGGACCCAATGTTGACTCAATGAACGAATAAATAGGCATAGGATGGCATATCCTGCACCGGCCTTTCCTCAGGACTTTGTGATCACCAAGTCCCTGGATTTGGTGCCAATTACTGAGAACCAGGAGTTGTAGGTCGCCGAGAACTCGCCGGTCTCTCTCGTGCGACGTAGACCGTCTCTCATCGTGCCGCAGCACCCAAAAAGGTGTCAGGAGCGGCAACCAATGGCGGCCATGTATGGTATAGGTTGGTAGGTATATGTAGATAGGCAGGCAACTTAGGAAGATAGGGTGGATCGTGGTTTGGGTAGGATGAACGGTTTGACAAAAGGTACTTGAGAAGTGGTTCAGGCTTGTTCCGCATGTTCAATGGGTGGGGTCCCAACAAAAACCCGAGAAGATCTCAGAACTTTTGTATCCCCTTACTCTGTGACTGAACCACAGGCTCCTTGAGTAAGTAAGGGGGATACTTTTGTTTCTTCTGAGAACCCCTCATGAATCCAAGTCATGGAGCAGAAGATATGGCTGCTCCGGCTCGGGTGAATCCACCATGGCTTTGGAGGATGAGCCTGGGGTGTATAGTTATAGTCCGTGCTTGGACACCAAGCAAATCAATGGGACATGGCTCAAAGCAGAATTATAGTTTGGGAAGAAACACATGACACCTATTTGATTTTGAAAAAAGTGTTCACAAGAGGAGTTCCTGAGAGACACGACCCATGGGACTGGCATAGTTATAGGGAATGACACTTTGATAGCACTCGCAAAACGCCGTTGATATGCCATCAATTTGTGATCTCTACTATAGGGAAATGCCATCAACCACTTGAGGGTAGATCCTGGAACAAATAGATTTCATTTATATACTAAGATTTTGGAAAAATACGATTTCCTTCAAAAGGCACAGTCACAACACCTAAACTTAAACCCCTAGCACACTTTGATGGCATCCACGCCCAAAGCATAGATCTCCGGTGGAAGCCTACCCAATGTCCATCATTTTGTGCGGCGGGACGCCATCAAAGTGTGGTTTCCTCTGGATACTTTTGGGGGTGGTTTCAAGAGGCTCACAGGTGGAGATTCCAAGTCCCGAGTGCTGCCAGCAACCCGATCGTGAGGCTCTTCAGATGCAAGAGTACTTCGAGGCGGGCCCTGACTTGGTGTTCAAAAGCGGCCGAAGGAAGGGTGAAGACTTGGTGTTCCCCGATTCGATTCCCTGTGTTAAAAATCCCTGTGTTCCCGGAGTGTTCCCTGTGGAAAAAATCCCTGTGCTAAATTGCCTGTGTTCCCTGTGTTCTTCCGCAATTTAGCACAGGGATTTTTTATATAAGTGTCCTTTTGTGCCGCGCACGATGTCTCACTCGCTTTTTGCACGAGGTGCATTTATTGTTCATTTTGGCATGCGACCTTACTAGTACTACGACTATGACTACTACGGCTACTACCGCTACTGTTACTCCTACTACTACTACTCCTACTACTACTACTCCTACTACTACTACT